CTGCTAAAAGCCAGAACAGACTGACTAAACTCACCAGCAGGACCGCCATTAGGGCATGACAACCATGATGGTTTTCATGGCCCTGGGAGTCCTGGGGGGCACGGACTGCTCAGGGAGTCCCAAGCGCCACATTCCCTATGTACCTGCGGGCCCCTGAATACCTGTACACTGCAGTGTGGCCCAGCACACTCGATCTCCACTTCCTAGCTGATCTGCTCTTCTCTAAGTCTCTTGAGCCGCAAGTTCATCAGAGCGTTGTCACAGGTTACCATGGCAATGCTCCGCGTGGCTCGCGAGACATAGAGAAGAGCAAAGTAGCTGGTAAGTGAGGATGGAGAGTGCTCGGCCCCCCTACAGTGTACAGTTAGCCAGGGGCCCGCACCATGCCACCGAACCACCAGAGAGTGTGATATCCCTTCTCTCTGACCATAGGCAAGATGCGGGAAAGGGGGAATTCAATTTACTACAATTAATAAAAAATAAAAAAAATGCTCTATATCCCCACACTGTATGCAGCCCCACAACATTTACACACACTACATCCTTACACAAATACACACTCCATGTAAGGATGTAGTAGGTGTAGTGAATGCAGAGTGTGTATTTGTGTAAGGATGTAGTGTGTGTATAGTGACTGCAGAGTGTGTGTTTGTGTAGTGGAGGTTGTGTGTGTATAGTGACTGCAGCATGTGTGTTTGTGTAATAAATGTAGTGTAAATAGTGACTGCACAGTGTGTGTTTATGCAAGGATGTAGTGTGTTTAGTGAATACAGAGTGTGTGTTTGTGTAGTGGATGTAGTGTGTGTATATTGACTGCAGAGTGTGTAGTGAATGCAGTTTGTGTGTATGTGTAGTGGATGTAGTGTGTATAGTGACTGCATCATGTGTGCTTGTGTAGTGGATGTAATGTGTGTATAGTGACTGCAGAGTGTGTGTTTGTGTAAGGATATAGTGTGTGTAGTGAATGCAAACACACACTCTGCAGTCACTATACACACACTACGTCCACTATACAGACATATATGCTGCAGTCACTATACACACACTACATCCTCACACAAACACACACTCTGCAGTCACTATACACACACTACATATTTACACAAACACACACTCTGCATTCACCACACACACACTACATCCACTACACAAATACGCACTCTGCATCTAATACATACAAACACTAAATACATTACATAAACATACAATCTGCATCCACTATACACACTACACCCATGACACAAACACCTCATCCACTTTACACATTCTACATCCACTACACACAAACCACATTCAGTACACACACACACACACACTTCATGTGGGTAGACACTGGGACAGGACCTGTGGGCGGACTCAGGTGTTGCCCTATGGGCGAACTCAGATGTTGCCCTATGTGCGAACTGAGGGGCTGCCCCAGGGGCCCAGAACTTGAGTTGTGTCAGGGGCCCCAAAAGTTCTGATGGCAGCCATGTTCACCAGAACAACTTCAGTGACCCTTTAAATATTACAGTACTTACTTCTGAAAACCAATGGTTTGAAATTGTAATATTTTATAGTTAGATTATATACAATTCATACAAAGATCTCTGTTCCTATATAATTTTCTTAAAATTATGTGTATTATTTGTAATATCTCTTTGACTGTACTTAATCCTAGCTTGTAAACTTGAATTCCTGTAAAAAAAAAAAAAAATTAAATGTAATAAAAGCTTTGCTTTGACCTTTCCCTTGGAAATCATATGTAATTATATTGGTCAGTTAGACTCACATATTCTGCGCAAGATGTGCGGAGTAAGACCCAGGTGTGCACTTTACTATGCCACATAGCTTGATTAATATTCTAATTGCAAAGTATGAAACCATTTTGATTGGATCATTACGTTTATCACTCTAATAATTTCTGTGAAATGCCATAAGGAAGGCTTTTAAACCTCAAGCAAGGAGCATACTAAGCACAGAGGTAAAAGCATATAAAAGAATATGCTCAAATAAAACTAACATCCTTTCTAATCTACTTTCAATAAATGTTTTGATAATTTAAATGTGCAACTTTCAATATTATGTAAAATAAGGGATTGATAAACTACGTGATTAGAAAAGTTTTTAAAACACTTGGGCATTCATTTTCAGACAAACACATTTTAGTAAACATTTTCGGCAAATCGTCCATTTGTCCGAAAGATGAACGGACCAATGGAAATTACAACAAATAAAGAATTGCTTTTGGACGAAATTTCACCATGCAAGTAGTTCTTTCATTTGTTCATTATAATTACAAGGAGGAAGTTATCGGCTCACGGCTTCCTCCTTGTGATATTTAAAAATGGTAGCGGAAAGGCGCGTTGCTCCTCCATGCCTCTTCACGTGTTTAAATGTATTGATGAAGATAACCTAGATGTTTTTGAATCCTTATATATTAGAGGCTCATTTTCAATCAGTGTTATTTATAAATAAACAGTGCGTATTTGAGAATTCAGCTGATGTTTCCTCTTGACCCTCTCCTTATTGTCACGGCTCCCGATGCGGGAGTGTACATGACAGTCACACAGCTGGAAGTCACCTAAGATGCAGCGGGTCACTGCCCGATCCGCCATAGCGTTCTTCCCCAGCAAGCGCAGTTTTCCTTCAGTGGGGTCGGGTGTCATGCGGATGTGCGTGCGTCGCTGCGTCATCAGCGCGCACGCACATTTTGTATCACATGATCCCTGTCTGCCAATAGCAATAAGGTTTAGGCTATTTAAACTCCTGAGTGTATTATCTCTTTTCCTTTGCCCTATCATGGTTTCCATTCTGTTTGGCTATCCGACACTGCATTTTTGTTTACTGTTTATCTGGTTTTCAATCTTGGCTTGTTCTATCCGTATTTCTGGCTTACTGAACTTTTGTTTACCATTTATGCTTCTGTTTGTATCAGTGACCTTGGCTTGTTACTGGTAATTCTATATACGCTAATTCCGGCCATTCTAAGGCCTGGTAATCCTTTTTTCCTCAGTTTATTATTTTCAGTGTTTGACTTAAGTCTGCGTATTGGGCCACTGTAGTGTCCTGACACTTATTCTTTTTTACTGAACTGCACACTCAAGTTAGTGGCTACTAGATTTTGATGTGGCTTATAGGAAGTATAGAAAATATATAAATTATAGGACCAAAACTACACATTTACTTTTTGTAATTAACATGACAAATGTAAAAGTCTAGGTGAAAAGGAACAAAAATCTATTGCTAGCACTCTAGTGCACTTGTCACATCACTGCCAGGGTTAAAAAAGGTATTTAACTCATAGTTTCTCCCTTTTGTTGCCAGTCGCCCTGCTTAAGCTCCACCTCTTTGGCTGAGATCATCAAGATTGATGATCTCAGACAATCCAAAGCACTCTCTGATACCATCTGACTAAAGTAACAGAATTTTACTTATTTATGGAAGCTCATCTAGTGGCTGTCATCAAAAATTTTGGAGCCCCTGACAAAGCACAAAGTCTGGGCCCCCCCTCCTCTACTCTCCCCTCCCCCCGGGCCCGCCCACGCCCTACCTAATCCGCTGACAATGATGCAGGACTGAATGTGGTGTGTATAGTGGAAGTGAATTAGAATGTGTGTAATGGATGTAGTGTTTGTGTGTATTAGATACTGTTTGTGCAGTGAATGCAGAGTGTGTATTTGTGTAGCAGATGCAGTGTGTATAGTGAACGCAGAGTGTGTTTGAGTAGTGGATGTAGTGTGTGTGTACAGTGATGTAGTGTGTGTTTGTATAGTGGATGTAGTGTTTGTGTGTACTAGATGAAATATGTTTAGTGGATGCAGTGTCTGTAGTGGATGTAGTGTGTGTATTAGACGCAGTGTCTGTGCATAGTGAATGCAGAGTGTTTCAATTTGTGGTGGATGTAGTGTGTGTACTGTGAATACAGGATGTTTGTGTAGTGGATGCTGTGTGTACAATTAATGCAGAGTGTGTGTTAATGTGTAGTGAATGCAGAGTGTGTGTCAGTGTAGTGAATGTAGAGTGTGTGTTAGTGTATAGTGAATGCAGAGTGTGTGTTAGTGTAGTGAATGCAGTGTGTGTGATGTATTGGTGTATGCAGTGTGTGTGTTGTGATAGTGTATGCAGTGTGTGTGTTGTGTTAGTGTATGCAGTGTGTGTGTGTTGTATTGGTGTATGCAGAGTGTGTGTTGTATTGGTGTATGCAGTGTGTGTTGTATTGGTGTATGCAGAGTGTGTGTTGTATTAGTGTATGATGTGTGTGTTATGTTAGTGTATGCAGTGTGTGTTGTGTTAGTGTATGCAATGTGTGTGTTGTGTTAGTGTATGCAGTGTGTGTGTGTTGTGTTAGTGTATGCAGTGTGTGTGTCAGGGTAGTGTATGCAATGTGTGTTGTGTTAGTGTAAGCAGTGTGTGTGTGTGTCAGGGTAGTGTATGCAGTGTGTGTTGTGTTAGTGTATGCAGTATGTGTGTTGTATTGGTGTATGCAGTGTGTGTATTGTATTGGTGTATGCAGTGTATGTGTTGTATTAGTGTATGCAGAGTGTGTGTTGTGTTAGTGTATGCAGTGTGTGTGTCAGGGTAGTGTATGCAGTGAGTGTTGTGTTAGTGTATGCAGTGTGCGTGTTGTATTAGTGTATGCAGTGTGTGTGTGTTGTGTTAGTGTATGCAATGAGTGTGTGTTGTGTTAGTGTATGCAGTGTGTGTGTATTGTGTTAGTGTATGCAGTGTGTGTTTTGTTAGTGTATGCAGTGTGTGTGTGTTGTGTTAGTTTATGAAGTGTGTGTGTTGTGTTAGTGTATGCAGTGTGTGTTGTGTTAATGTATGCAGTGTGTGTGTAAATGTGCAATTTGGGGGTCAGGGGGAGGAAGGGGCATTTTCACATCAATTTTTTAACTTTATATTAAATTAATTAAATGTTTCTCCCCCCCTCCCCTCCCCCCCCGCTTCTTACCTGTGTCCAGGGAGGAGAGAGATTCCAACCCTGGTGTTCCGGTGGCATGGTGGAGCTCCCTGTTACCGCAGAGGGGGCCCAGCACACTGCCTCTACTCTTCTCTTCTCCTCTCTTCTAATAACTTGCGGGTCTTGCGAGAGTTATTAGAAGAGAGGAGAAGAGAAAAGTAGAGGCAGTGAACTGGGCCCCGTCGTAACAGGGAGCCGGGGGCCTGCGGCTGCACACATAGATAGCGATATTCGCTATCTATGTGTGCAGAAAGGGAAAGTGGGGCCCGGGACTGCCAGAGCAGTCCGGGACCCCCAGGACCGCCGGGCCCATGACAACCATCATGGTTGTCACCCCCTGATGGCGACCCTGGCTGTCATACTAATACTAGTGGCATGTTAACCCTGAAATGCAAACATTGCCATTCCTGCAGAACAGCAATGTTTTCAACTGCAGGGTTAAAGGGGGGAGGGAGGGGGTAAGGCACTTGGGGCACAGGCAACTTTGAGATGAAGTGGACTGGGTGGCTACAGCATTCCTTTAATCTAAGTGGAATGCTGTAGCCTTAAATGTCTATATTTCAGGCTTTATGGATATATCACTGTGTTTTCCATGAATATCAATCCCACAGAGTTTATTTCTGTTTATAATGTGACTTCTTCTAGATGGTGATGTTCAGAAATTCACTTTTTCAAATACAGTTTCATTTTACAAGATCATGGATTGTGCTTAACCCTTAAATGACTGAACCAAATATACACGTGATCAAAACAAAACGTAAACAAAACCTGGAATTTGACTATATGTCTGTTCAACCATTATTCACCCCTTTTATATTAAGTGTACCCACACTTATTATATATAATTTTATTCAGGGGAAACAGGGCTTTCATTTAAGATCAGAAATTTAGCTATGAAACATAATTTAATATGAAAAAAATATTTTAAAAAAATGGGAGAAAATAGGAAATGTTATTTTTTTATTTTTTTAGTTCTGCATGACATTTTAACTGTGAATGTCATAATACTGTTTTCTTTTACTGCAATAAAATACACATATTTGGATTCAGCGATGTCTCACATGTAAAACAGTACCCCTTATGTACAGGTTTTATGGTGTTTTGGGAAGTTACAGGGTCAAATATAGCATGTTACAATTTTGGGTTTATACACATTGAAATTCGCCAGATTGGTTATGTTGCCTTTGAGACCAAATGGTAGTCCAGGAATGAAAATTACCCCCATGATGGCATAGCATTTGAAAAAGTACACAATCCAAGATATTACAAATGGGGTATGTCCAGTATTTTCTAGTAGCCACTAAGTTACAAACACTGGCCAAATTTAGTATTCATATTTGTTTGTGTGAAAAATGCAAAAACTAAATTGAATGACATCACTGCCCTTTGCAACAAGAAAAGCTTTTCATGCCCTGATGGACTCAGGTGCGGCAGGTAACTTTACTGACATGCATTTTGTGAAAAAAAAAACACCATACCTATAAAGGAGAGATCATCACCTCTGGCCGTTGAGGCTATTGACAGGAGACCTCTCTCTCAAACTCTGATTACCCACAAAACCATGCCTATTAACATTTCTATAGGAGCATTACACAAGGAAAACATAACATTCCAGATAATTGCTTCTCCTTCTTGTCCCATCATATTAGGATTTCCTTGGCTCATTAAGCACAATACTCATATTGACTGGGCTAGGGGAGAAATACTGGAATGGTGTAAAGACTGTATAGAGAGATGTGTGTTACCCATTACCAAAAGAGTGGGCATTGTTACTTTGCCCACCGCTACACCTCAGACCCCGAAATTCCCATACAATACTGGGAGGTTAAAGAGGTGTTCAGTAAGAGTCAGACTAATATTCTACCTCCTCACAGATCATATTGCTCCATAGATCTGCTACCCGGCGCTATCCCCACAGGGGAGTAGAATCATGAAAGAGTACATCAAAGATTCTCTAAATAAAGGCCACATACGTAAGTCATCCTTGCCTGCTGGAACAGGGTTCTTTTTTGTATCCCAAAAAGATGGAGAATTATGGCCATGCATTGATTACAGAGCTTTAAACAAGATCACCACAAAAAATGCATATCCCATTCCTCTTACCTCCGAATTGTTTGACAGGCTCCAGGGTGCTAAGGTATTTACTAAACTTGACCTTAGGAGTGCGTACAATTTGGTAAGAATTAAGGAAGATCATGAGTGGAAAACGGCATTTAACACTAGAAGTGGGCACTACGAGTACCTTGTCATGCCTTTTGGTTTATGTAATGCTCCAGCCGTATTTCAGGACTTTATAAATTATGTGCTCGGAGACTTTATTTATTCTTTTGTTCTAGTATACCTGGATGATATCCTGAGTTTGTGACCTCCAGACTCACCACAAACATGCCAAACAAGTACTGCAAACTTTGCTTGAAAATTGTCTTTATTGCAATCTTGAGAAATGCATCTTTGACCAGTCTGAGGTACAGTTTTTGAGGTATAATATCTCCGCCCCTGGTTTCCAAATGGATCCTCGTAAACTAGAGGCTGTTCTACAATGGCCTTTACCTTATGGGTTAAAAGCCATTCAAATGTTTACTGGTTTTGCTAATTACTACAGGAGATTCATCAAAGGTTTCTCTTCTGTAATATGACACGTAAGGGGGCTAGTTGTACTATATGGTCTAAAGAATCTAGAAGCTTCTTAAAAAATTGTTTGCTTTTGCTGACATTTTGTTACATTATGACATTAATGCCTCAGAAACAGGGGTGGTGGCTGTTCTTTCTCAAAGGGAGAGTCAGGATACCCCTTTGCATCCCCGTGGGTACTTTTCTAGAAAGGTGTCTCTGGCAGAGCGTAATTATGATATTGGCAACAGAGATTTGTTGGCCATTATACTAGTGCTCAAAGAATGGTGACATATTTTAGAGGGTTCCAAGGATCCCCTTTTGATTATAACTGATCACAAAAATGTGGCATATATTGGTGATGCTAAACGACTGTCTTTTAGGTAGGCAAGATGGTATTTGTTCTTATCTCACTTTAACTTTTTTTCACTTGCAGACCTGGTCCCAAAAATGTTAAAGCTTACGCCTTATCTAGACAGTTTGACATTGAAACTGAACAAGAACAAGAGATATCCCAATCCCAGGCACCTTGCAATAAACCTCTGGATACATTGTTTATTCTATTGACTGAAAGGAAGGAAGTAATGAGAGTATTCCACGACAATGAGACTGCTGGGCATCCGGGCATTAATAAAACCATTTCCGTTGTCTCTAGATCTTTTTGGTGGGATTCACTCAGGAGAGATATCAAAGAATATGTGGAGGCCTGTTCTGTGTGTGCAGTTTCTTAAGTTGCTCATAAACTTCTGTGTGGATTGTTACATCCACTTCCTGTATCTAGTGTGCCATGGTCCCACTTGTCCATGGATTTCATCGTGGAATTTCCGAGTTCTAATGGTCCCAACTTATGGTGGGTGATCGTTTTTCCAAGATGGCTCATTTTATTCCACTCAAAAAATTGCCATCTTCACAAGATCTGGTTTTGAAATTTATACGCGACATTGTCAGACTACATGGTATTCCTAAAATATTGTGTCTGACAGGGGCTCTCAGTTTGGTTCTCAATTTTAGAGAGCTTTTAGCAAACAGCTGGGTATGGTATTGTCATTTTCTTCCATTTACCATCCCCAAACTAATGGTACTGCTGAAAGGGCTAACCAATCCTTGGAACTGTATTTACGTTGTTTTGTGAATAGCACTCAGAATAATTGGTCTGAATTGCTGCCCTGGGCAGAGTTTGCTAGGAATCATGGTAACCATGACTCCTCCAGGCATAGTCCATTTTGTGTCAATAACGGTCGTCATCCTACCGTTCTACTGGCCGTATTCTCTGACACTGCTATCCCTGCTCTGGTTGATCACCTTACTTCTGTTTGTGATACTTGGACCAAAGTTCACTCCTCTCTTGAGACTGCAGTTACTTGTTTTAAATTTCATGCTGATAAACGGCGGGGTGCCAACCCTGTTTACCAGGTGGGTGAGAGGGTGTGGTTATCTTCGCGCAACTTCAAACTAAAAGTTCCTAGCATGAAGTTTGCCCCCAGATTTCTTGGTCCATTGCGTGTTGTTTAGAGAATTAACTCTGTTTCTTATTCTCTGGCTCTTTCAGCCTCCTTGTGTATACCTAATACATTTCATGTCTCCTTACTCAAACCGCTTATCTGCAATAGGTATACTGTCCCAATTGTTCCCCCTCCTCCTTTGGTCGTTTCTGGACAGGAGAAATATTAAGTCTCCTTCATAACTGATTCCAGGTTTTCTCGTGGTTCCTTGCAGTACTTAGTTGATTGGAAGGGGTATGGGCCTGCTGATCATTCTTTGGTTCCAGCTTCTGATATCCATGCTTGGCGCAAAATTAGTTATTTCCACACTAGGTTTCCTCTCAAACCTGGTCCTGCCCACCCGGTCGGTGGTCTTCAAGTAAGGGGTATTGTCATGGACTCTGACATCTCTGCCAGCTTGGCTGCACTCAAAAATAGCAGCCATGTTTTCAACTCACCTGGGCCTCGGCAGGCAGCTACCTGGTATTAGTGATGTCCTGAATAGTTCCTGGCGAAAATAGTGCGTTCGCGTTCGCCACAGACGGCAAACATATGCGCGGTTCGATCCACCCCCTATTAATTTACTAATACTAAGTAAAAATTACTTAGTATTAGTAAATTGTGCCCCTACTCGCAATACCGCAAGTAGGGGCATATCTATTAAACAGTGAGCAGCCTATGTTTAAAAAAAAAAGGGTCCCACCCCCGGTGGGGGCCCTAAATACTAATAGGGGGGGACCTATTGTCCTCCCCCCGGCCCCCACCCCTGAGCGGTGGGTGGGGGCCCTAAAATTAACAATAAGGGGGGGACCTACTGTCCCCCCCGGCCCCCACCCCTGAGCAGTAGGTGGGGGCCCTAATATTGTCCCCCTGAGCGGTGGGTGGGGGCCCTAAAATTAACAATAAGGGGGGGACCTATTGTCCCCCCCGGCCCCCACCCCTGAGCCGTGGGTGGGGGCCCTAAATACAAAGTGGGGGGGCCCTAGTCACCCCTCCCCCCAAAAAAAAAAAATTATCTCCCTACCTACCCCCCTCACCCTAAAAATAATGAGGGAGGGACCTTTAACTAAAAACCTGTAAAAAAAAATTTGGTA